TCTGGGGGGGACGGGGCTGGGTTGAGCCGGGAGGGACGCGGGGCGGGCAGGGATGCTTTGATGGGGCCATGGGGGTGGTTTGTAGGGGGATTCCGGAGCTACCCATAGAGTTGAGGGAGGACAAAGCTGTTTTGGGGGAGCCCGGAGCTGGGAGGAAGGTTTGGAGGGGATGTCCAGGGGCTGAGGCTGCTGCGGGAGGCTCTGAGCTGGGGGACTGTCACAGAGTTCTGGCCTGAGGAGTTTCTGGAGAGGGCCCAGCTCTGGGGGGTTTCTGTGAGCCCTGGGGAGCTCGGCTCTGTCTCCTCTGGCTGCTGACCCGGCCCGTCTGCCTGCTCAGGTTCTCACACATGATCCAGGACAAGGCCCTTCGCACCTCCTGGGCACGGAAGATGAAGGAACGGCAGGAGAGGAAGCTCGTCCGGGACCTGGCGCGGCAGCTACAGGAGGGGAAGCAGAGAGAGCGAGAGGTACCGGGGCTCGGGAGCTGGGCCTGGGGCTCAGGACCCTTCAGGCAGCATCGCCCAGCCCCTCCGTGCCTGCTGTCCCCGTGGGGCAGCGACCGTGCTTGTGACACCGGCACCGCGTGGGGCAGGTTTGCCGGGCAGCCCGGGGCTCTACCCGCTCCCTTTGCTGGGGCGAGCGTTGCAGAGTCAGGCCGTGATCAGCAGTTTTCCGCCTCTCTCCACACACAACCCCGCGTCTCTGCCCATATCCCGGGCTTCGGGACCGTGGCGTTACTGTGGCAGAGCCCTGCAGGGTGCCTGCTTCACCCTTCTCACGGGCAGCCGGGACAGTGAATTCCCTGTCGTCCTGCCAAATCCAGGCTGCGACGGTCACATGCTGCAAGTCACTGACTCAGAATAAACTCGCTCGTTCAGTTCAAGCCTCGTGATGGGGGGAAAAAGCGCTGCTGGCTTGGCTTTGTGCAGCGGATTTCATGCTTGGGCAGGTGTCGCTTGTAGCCGTGCAGCTCCCTGAGCGGTGTCTGCGTCAGCCGCGGGTCGATGCTGGTTTGGGTTTGAGCCCGGAGGGAGGGAGGGACCTGCAAGGAACGTTTTGGTGCTGCTCCCGCAGGAGAAGAAGCGGCGGCGGGAGGAGAACCTGAAGCGGCGCCTGGAGAACGAGCGGAAAGCGGAGATCGTCCAAGTGGTGAGTGGCAGCCCCGCTCCTGGCTGGGGGCACCGCGGTGGCCTGGCAGACTCGGTGGCCTCCAGACCCCGGGCACTGGGCTCCAGTTTGCTCCAGTTCTTCTCCCTGGCTCCTTTGAAGGATTCTGTGGGCAGCACTGGGAAGATTGGGGAAATCCAGCCAAACCCAGCTGTACCAGGAGGGTGTCTCCTCTGCCGAGCAGGCAGCCGGTGTCCTGCAGGGTGGGGTGGGGGCACAGCTTCTCTTTCAAGCTTGAGAAAACCAGGGAGGGGGTCACCCTGGGGATCCCTGGCACACGGGGTGATAGAGCAAGGGAAACTCGGCATTGACGGGGATCCAAGCACACTGGGCTTTGTGGTGGGGAAGTCAGGGCTTTTCTGTCTGGAAGAGACCCCGGAACTCGGGGTGGGAGTGGTGAAGACCTCATGGTGATGGTGAGGATGGAGTTATTGCCTGTCCCCTCCGACACAGGAGCTGGGGCAACTTGGAGATGGTCCCAGGGAGGAGTTTTAGGGTAAATCTGATCAGGAGCCGGACGGCTTCCTGTACAGACTTTGATCATTGCTACGTCTGCTGCTTTGGCAGCGAGAGGAAGAAGATCCCATCCCGCAGCTCCCTGTGGAGGGGGCCTGGCTCCAGCTGGGGCTGTGCCCACCGTGCCGCAGGAGGCTGGGAGCCCTGCTGTGCCCGTCCCTCCCAGCTCTCCCCGGCGCTATCTCTGTGCCTGAAAGCCCCCTCTTCTTCCCCTCACCAGATCCGGAACCCGCTGAAGCTCAAGCGGGCGAAGAAGAAGCAGCTGCGGCGGGTGGAGAAGCGGGACACGCTGGCCCTGCTCCAGAAGACACCTGTGCGGCGCAAAACGGCCACGGATTGAGACGGGAGACGGGGAACCACGATGCCCGGCCCGGGCAGCTGGGATTTGTGCGGGTCCTGCTCCTCTCCAGGGTGCTTCCTCGGCTCGGGGGGCAGGAGTCGCTGGCCAAGCTCTTGGTGTTGGACAGACAGCGGGACAGAGCTGTGGCTGGTTACGCAGCGCCATGACCTGCAGGAACCAGCTGCTGGATCACCCCTGCCCTGTGAAGTCGGGGTGTTGCTGGGGGCTGGAAGGAGAACGGCTTCAGCTGCCCAAATCTGCTTTTTCTTTATAAAAATGAATAGGAACTGACCCAGCCTCACCTCTAACAGCTTGGGGGGGGGGGTGGCTCCAGCTCGGGGCCTTCCCTTGGCCGAGGCAGATCTCCCTCAGCCTTCCTGGGATTGCAGAGCGCCATGGCCCCTCGCCCCCTGAGACTCCCCTTCCTCGAAGAGGGGTCTTTTCCCCTGGGAATGAGCCCTGGAGCCTGTCACGAAGGAAGGATAAGCCCTTGTCTGCGGCGGGGAGCCCTGGCACGGGTGGGCATGGTGGAGCTTCATCCTGGGGTGGCAGCTGGAGGCGGGGGACGAGGTTGTGGCCCCAGGATGAGCAGTGGCCGTGGGGGGGAGCTGGCCCTGTGCCCCCCCGAGGCAGAGCAAAGCCTGGGGGTGGGTTAATCACAGACTGGGGGCATCTCAGGCGACCCCAATAAGCTCCCTGTTGCCCCCATTGAGTACGAATTAGGGGGGGTTCCCACCGACACCCAGGGTAGTCCCTGTTGGGTGCCGCAGGCAAGGGGTGTGGGGCCTGGCAGGAGCTGTGGGGTGCAGTGGGGCGGCTGCCAGGCTGGCTGGGGTCATGGGATGGGAGGGCTTTGCCCTCATCGCTTCCTGGGTTAATAATTGCTGAGGCAATACGAGAGCCCTGCCTTTCCCATCCACTCCCTCTCCAGAGCCGCAGCACCAGCTTAGCCTTCGCCCCAGCTGGGTAAGAGTGGGGACTTGGAGCCCATCCCTGTGGCTTCAGGGCTTGCAGGTGCCCAGGGTTTTCGGGGGGCTGCTTTCCCGGCAAGGGCGTACGTGGGCGAACTCGGCGTCTCCTCCCAGGGCTGGACTGGGGCCAGCACCGTGCCTGCTGCCGCGGCCTGCCTGGCCGCCCTGCTGCACGGAGGGGAAAACGGGGGCTGCAGGGGACTGGGGGGGCCCCTAGCCCCTGCCCCCAGCTCGGCCCTGTCCCCCGACCCCCTACCCTGGGCCGGGCCCCGGGTGCAGAGGAGGAGGAGGATGGGGAGAGGGAATGGTGAGTGCTGGGGACGCCGGGAGGGGGGGACAGAAGTAAAAGGGGTGTCCCTGCTGCCAGGCAGGTTTGGGGGGGCTGCTGGAGGGGGGATTGGGGTCGGAGGGTGGGAGGTGCTGCGTGTCCTTGGGGAGGGGGGGACAGGGACGCGGGAAGGAGGGGGATGCCAGCGGGACTGGCTGGGCTGCAAACCCCATCGTGTGATCGCCAAATCCCATGGCCCCCTCCTTAGGGTCCCTGGGGACAGTCCCCTGCTGCCAGCCCGCGGTGGGCCACCAAGGAACCCCCTCCCTGGGCAGCACGACCGTGGGGGATGCTTGGGGATGATGCTTATCCCTGTCCCCAGGTGCACCATGGTGGAGGTGACGGTGACACCGCGGTCCTCGCTGGCCGACCGGCCGGTGCAGGTGCAGGTGCGGGGGCTGTCCCCCTCCCAGCTCATCACCCTGCGGGCATCGCTGACGGACGAGCACGGCGAGTGCTTCCAGGCGCGTGCCTTCTTCCGCGCCGACGAAGCGGGCGAGGTGGACCCCGGCCGCCACGCCGCCCTGGGTGGCAGCTACACCGGCGTCTGGCCCATGGGGCTCTTCTGGTTCCTGCAGCCCGACACCCCCGGCCCCCCGGCCCCAGCCGCTGGCCTCCTGCGAGGCTGAGCGGTGGTACGTGGGTCCCGGCATGCAGCGGGTGCCCATCCGGGAGGGCAGGGTCCGCGGGGCCCTCTTCTTGCCACCCGGTGAGTAGTGGGGCGCGGGGGACCCCAAGATGCCTGGCCTCAGCCCCCCTGGGGACACCCCAGGGCCAGGCGGGACCCCCCAGGGCGTGGGATGGCACCGGTGGCTCCTCTGCCCCCGGCAGTGACGGTCTCTCTGGCTGCTCGCAGGACCGGGACCCTTCCCGGGAGTGATCGACCTGTTTGGGGGCGCGGGCGGCCTCATTGAGTTTCGTGCGGGGCTGCTGGCCAGCCGGGGCTTTGCGGTGCTGGCGCTGGCCTTCTTCGCCTACGACGACCTGCCCCGCACCCTGACCCAGCTCGACCTGGAGTATTTCGAGGAGGCGGCCGAGCTGCTCCTCCGGCACCCCAAGGTGAGCCCTGCAGCGCGGTGGGTGGCCCCTGCGAGCGGGGGGGGACACAACTGGGGACATCCTGGTGAGTGGGAGGTCCTGTTGGCCAGGGACATCCTGATAAGCGAGATGTCCTGGTGACTGAGGACATCCCAGTGAGTAGGACGTCCTGGTGCCCAGGGATGTCCTGGTGATCTGGGGAATGTCCTGGCAAGCAGCAATGTACTGGTGACTGGGAACATCCCAGTGAGATGTCCTGGGGACATCCCAGTGAGCGAGATGTCCTGGTGACCAGGGATGTCCCAGTCAGTGGGATGTCCTGGTGATCTGGGGATGTCCTGGCAAGCAGGGATGTCCTGGCAAGCAGGGATGTCCTGGTGACATCCCAGGGAGCAGGATGTCCTGGTGACCAGGGATGTCCCAGCCAGTGGGTTGTCCTCATGACTGGGGACATCCCGGTGACGTCCTGGTGAGCGGTGCTGCCAGCTGGCTCCATTTCCCCCCGCTGCAGGTGCGAGGTCCCGGCCTGGGCGTCGTCGGCGTCTCCAAAGGAGCAGAGGTGGCCCTGGCCATGGCCAGCTTCCTCCCGCAGGTGGTGGCCACAGTGTGGATCAACGGCACGGCCTTCCTCCACGGCAACCCGCTGGTCTACAAGGACCTCCGCATCCCGCCCATCCCCTACTACACCGAGCGCGTGATCTTCACGGAGCTGGGGGCCTTGGACAACTCGGCCATCTTCGCCGACCCCCGGGACCCCGCGTACAGCACCTCAGCCATCCCAGCCGAGAAGATCCGGGGAAAAGTCCTCTTTGTGGTGGGGGAGGCCGACCGCAGCTTCAACAGCAAGCTCTTTGCCGAGCTGGCCATGGCACGGATGCCGCCGGAGAACTGCCGCCTCCTTTCCTACCCCGGGGCCGGGCATTTGATCGAGCCCCCCGGCTCCCCGCTCTGCAGCATCTCCAGCATTCGGGGGACCCCCCGGCCGGTGGTGTGGGGAGGTGAAGCCCAAGCCCACGCCAAGGCCCAGGAGCACTCATGGCAGGAGATCGTCCAGTTTTTGGAGCTCCACTTGGGCCCCGCTGCCACCATGAAGCTGTGATGGCTGTGGGGAGGTGAGGGGAAAGGGGCTGGAGCTGCCCCCGGGCTTGTTGCCCTGCTCAATAAAGTGCCCGCTGCCAGTTGGCGCTGCCTGGTCCTGCCTGCATTCATGGGATGGGGGCACCGGGTCCCGGCAACGGCACGCGGGAGGACCCCTATGTGTATATAGGTACATATACAGGCACAGCCACGCTCAGGGGGTGTTGCTGTAGCTGCTACCGCTCTTTAATGAGGCGGTTAAGGTTTTAGGGGGGGGCTACGGCCAAACCTCCAGCTCCGTGTGCCTTTTCATCATGAGCCTGGGTTCGGTGCTGCGAGCCAGTGGGAGCTGGGTGGGTTTTCC